GGGAGCGAAACCGGTTGCTTCTCCCTTGTTGTGTTTTTGTTTTTTTTATTTTTTAATATGTCTGGTAATATTAAATTTTACACTTTTTATTTCGATCAATATATATATATATATATATATATATATATATATATATATATTTAATCAGGCTTTGTTAAATAATTTAGACATACTATGTCTGTTTATTTTTGTTTTAACCCTTTCGAGTCCACGAATCAATTTCTTGGTAGCCGCAGAAAATTAAAAAAAGTACCAAAAATTTTCTTTTAAATAATTTTCTTTTTCAGTCTCATCTGATAATACCATCTTCATTTAAATTGTCTGTGTATGTGTATACGCATTTCTGTAAATTATATATATATATATATATATACGTGATATATATATATATATATATATATATATATATATATATATATATATATATATATATATATATATCGTGCATATTTATAGCTTTGAGCATGTCTGTCTCCTTGAGTAGGCATTTCAAGTATTTATCGTAGTAGTTTTGGTGAAAAGCAGTAACGCCGGATATTGTGTCCTTTAAGCAGTCTACTCTGGAATCAGATGCCAAATCGAATGCCTGTCACCGACAACGCCAATACTCAACAAAACCGCAATCAAAAACTCACCCTACAACGCCTAACCGAGTGAAAAGAACTAGCGATGCGGAATTGCTGGAGGAAATGGACAACGTTATGTGACCCGTAGAAGAGTAGGCCTGCTTTTGGTTCGCAGAAAGAACCCTCTAGTAATGGCTGCTCTACATGTCGTGGACTCTCACCTGAAGTCAATCTGACCAATCGCGGCTGAGAAACAAAATAAAATGAACCAATGGGAGAGAGAGCCGTGAATTGAAAATTAAAGTAGTGTGACTGCATGAACACCAGAAGTTTTCTCTCTTTTTCTCTCTCTCTTTTTTTTTTTTCTTTTCCTTTTTTTCATCGGTTGCGGGTGGCGGACGAGAAATATAGTTTTATGGTCTTGGCTGTGACTGGAGTGGACGTTCCACTCGATATAATGCATTTCCGCCACGAAATAAAGTCGTGTTGCTTTAAACACGAATTAAGGACTACTGTCGTTTGTCATAATCTTCAGTATATATATACAACTAATAGATAGATAGATAGATAGATAGATAGATAGATAGATAGATAGATAGATGTCCAAAAGATAGTGTTCTGACTTATTTAGTGTTTAAATCAGTAGGACTCTATTTTGCGGGGGAAATACATGAAGTGGAACACCCACCCACTCTCCTCACATTTGGTCATTTGAACAGGTTTTGGAAAGGAAGTTGTATCAAAAAGTTTTCAGCAGCCTTTTGTGCGTCAAAAGATATACAGGGTGAATGAAAAGTAACTCCCTATTTTATGTATCGTGGACTCCCCCGTCTTGTAAAAATTATAGTTAGATGGGTGTTATACCAGAACATTACCTATTCCATTGTAATAGACTCTCCCACAGATAATAAGTAGTAGTAGCAGTGGCCAGTTGGGCTCAGTTGAGAGAGTCAGTCGATGTCGGACATTGAAGTATCAACCATCACAACTAGATTGCTGCGTCATTAGAGCCGAGTTCAAATTACATTCACTTATGTGCTAATACCTTTGAGAAAGGTGTGAATCCATCGCTTCTCTACTATTGGTAAATAGGAAGACAGAATGCGTCCTATGACCTTGTGTGAAGAATTAGCGAAGGATAACTATGAATTCAAAACCTGACGGCTTAGTATAAGGGCTGAGGGCGACCTATACAATATTCTGTTGGTCAGGATCTTGGAGAGGAGATGGGCGCCGCCAAGCTATCTGAAAGCCCATGAAAGGAAGAAGAATCAAAGTCTGTTTCTACCCTCAGGTTCCCACCCTGACTTTTGATGCCGATGATGATGATGATGATGATGATGATGATGATGATGGTGATGGTGATGATGATGATGATGATGGTGATGGTGATGGTGATGATGATGATGATGATGATGATGGTGATGGTGATGATGATGATGATGGTGATGGTGATGATGATGATGGTGATGGTGATGATGATGATGATGATGGTGATGGTGATGGTGATGATGATGATGATGATGATGATGGTGATGATGATGATGATGATGATGATGGTGATGGTGATGGTGATGATGATGATGATGATGATGATGATGATGATGATGATGATGATGATGATGATGATGATGATGGTGATGATGATGATGATGATGATGATGATGATGATGATGATGATGATGATGATGGTGACGACATATATACATATTTATTCTCCGCCTAATATCTAGTTTCCACTGCATTCCTCCAAGTCCCCTTGTATAGAACAGTGTTTTTCAAAATACTATGGTTTGTCAGAAGCCAATTCAGTTAGCGTCAAACTGCCCAAACTTTGAGGCGGTTATTCGTATATTGCCGAGAGCATTTCACACTATTTTATTTTTAAAATATACATATATATGTCTATAAACAAAATACACACACACACACACACATATATATGTGTGTGTGCCTGTATGTGTTTTCTTTTTTACAATGATGTTCACCCAAGAGTCACTCGAGGTAGTGGGTTAAAGGCATGTGTGGAAGATAACGGTTAACACTAGACTCGGGGTTTATTGCGGGGCAGACTGGGCTCTCTATCCTTGACTAGCAAACACCATTTGTTAGTTTGGGGCTTAGGGCAATATTTAAGCCTTAATATAAACTTCGGGTTGTATTAACGCGGGAAACTGATATCGCAATGCAGTTTTAATTCCAATGTTGACATTGATAATACTTGTCGTGTGCGGATGTGTAAAATGTTAGCTGAAAGTTTCATTGTATATTTCATTAGATGACTTTAGAAGCATTTTGTTCGTAGGATGGCGTAGTCAACTGACCTTCTAATTTTTAAAGTTAAAAGCTCTACATGTTATTATTACTTTTATTTTATTTTTTCACGCGTGTATTGAGCACTTTTTAATAATACTTTTTCCTGTTCGATTTCAAATCTGACCATTAATCTTATAGATAGATAGATAGATAGATAGATAGATAGATAGATAGATGCATTATAAACACACACACACACACACAGGTAGATTTTCTAATTGTCTAAGTTTTCTTGTACATGTCGATTAATACACATATACAAGATAATTGGTTATTATCTTCTAGTGTCTTTGTCTCAGAGATAGATAGATAGATAGATAGATAGATAGATAGATAGATAGATAGATACGTTGTTCTGAAGTTACCTTCTGCATCGACTTAATATAGCAGAGAAGGTATTATAATCCCTCGCCCTCACTCTCCCAATCTCTTTCTCTCTCTCTTTCTCTCTCATTGTCTTTATTTATCTATCTATCTATCTATCTATCTATATATATATATATATATATATATATATATCTTTCACAGGCTCTGTGTATGTGTGATAACTCAAGAACAGTTTGGTAAACTTTAACAAAATATTGTTTTATCATTTGGTTATTTCGACTTAAGTTAAGTACATTTCCACTCTGTATACCTCGTTTAAATACTCCCCATCCCTTTTCGCACTAAACAAATCCCACGGACGCGAAAAAAATACAGCGGCAGCAGCGGCAGCAGCGGCAGCAGCAGCAGCGGTAGCAGCAGCAGCGGTAGCAGCAGCAGCAGTATCTTTATGGGTTTCCATCGAACCATCCGCCATCATTGTTTTTTGCCACATGGAATCGTCAAAGAAGAAAAGCAACAATTGAAAAAAAAAAGATTTCTCCTTACATGTGATCAATAGAAAAAATTCATATCGCATTATAAACAACCCTGGTGCGACTGGCATTATCTCATTCCTCGTCACACCCACCGGCACCACACCTGTAACTCTCTGACAGTCACCCTCGCCCAGCTATCGTTGCTAGTACCCCCCCACACACACACACATACACACACCTTACCAATTGCAGCAGCTTCATCTTCGGCCACCAACAATGTCTCCATTGTCTTAATAAAAATACTGTTGCAACGATCTTTCAATAAAATATTAAGAATAGCAGCTTAACTATTTGTGGCAACTGGCGCCAAAAACGGTCACGTGATGTCGAGTATGACACGAAAGTAATGGTCTGCAGCAGAAGGAAAGATTGTGATCGGGAAGAAAAGAGTTCGTTTTGTTATATTTCCATTTGTTTATATAATTGGTGTTTTATCGAATATTCCCGGTTTCCCCCCCCCACCTCTATCCGTGTTTCTGTCTCTCTCTTCTCTATTGGTTTTTATATATATATATATATAATATATATATATATATATATATATATATATATATATGATGATGATGATGATGATGATGATGAAAAGATAGATTTAAAGGGTGCTACTTTGGCTTATTATCTACAAGGAAAAAATATCTACACCATACAAATTTTATTTTGGAATCATATCTACATAGTAAAACATATTCTATATAATGGGTGTATCTGCATAACTGTCCATCCCACAAAATGTTTAATATCTAAATATGTAGATATGATTCCAAAATAAAATTTTTACGGTGTAGATATTTCCCTTGTAGATAACAAGCCAAAGTAGTACTGTAAATGTATGTTATATTTATGGATGAAATAATCAATTATCCGGGATAGTGCGTGCCTAAATATAAAAGTGGACACCGAGGTCCAAACCGAGCGGCAAATGTCTGTCTCTTGCTTAAACGCAATCTTCGGGCCAATCTGATTACCTGAAGATTACGTTCAAGCATGAAATAGACTATCGTCACTCGGTGTTCACATATATATATATATATGTGAACATTGAAGTCAACACTCAGAGGCGACAGGCTGTTTCATGGTGGACGTATGATTGCGTCCAGCATGAAATAGCTGATATTGAGCACTTTATCCCATAAATATCGCACAACTTAAAACTATATTTCTTCGTATATATATATATATATATATATATATATATATATAATATTTTCAAATTTGTCAAATTCATAGGAAAAAAGTGCTTAATATCGAAGGGGAAATGGCGTTTTACCGAATATTCCCGGTTTCCACCCCCTCTATCCGTGTTTCTGTCTCTCTCTTCTCTCTTGGTTTCTCTATCTATCTATATCTATATCTATGTATCTATCTGTCTATCTATCTATCTATCTATATATATATATATATATATATATATATATATATAAAATATAATAAAATTAAGTTTTAAAGGTGCTACTTTGGCTTGTTATCTACAAGGAAAAATATCTACATTGTACAAATAGTGAAAGCACTAGACTTAGCCGGGATTTGAACTCGGCTTGCTAATTCCACTTTCCGCGCAGATGATTCGCACACCTACATTCCTTACTCATTATGTGTTCTAATGTGCCCCCACCCCGACACACACATATCAGCTGCCTCTTTCATACTGTTATTAACACTTTCTTTATAGTTCCTATTCTTATTAAAACTTCCTCATTTATCACATACTCTGTTCATGGTATTCTCAATATCTATCGGTAAAACAACAATCATTGCCTCAATCATTTTTACATTTGTGACGAGCTTGACCAATTTTCACAGTTTTATTCAAAGACAGACATATAACATTCCAACAGTCCTGTTTCTAATATTACTTTTATTCATTTAATACCGTGTTCGGCTTCTGAAAAATATCTTTCGGTAGTCCTATGCTCCTTCGCATTGTCACCAGCTACTACACTATTCATAGAGTTGAAATTCTACAACTACTTAATTATGGCGTCCCCGATGTGCAACGCCAAACTTGTGCTGTCCCTTTTGCTTACAGCATCTTTTTATACCTTGTGTTTAATTCATATATACAAAGCTTAAAAACTAGGAAAAATTCAGAAACTCTCTCTCTCTCTCTCTCTCTCTCTCTCTCTCTCTCTCTCTCTCCGCTTCCGACACTAATACTGAAGAGTCAAGAGGCGCGGATATTAATTGTTTTTCTTCCTCATGCTACAGATCAATATCAGTTCAACCATTCTTATTGGATCCTCTGTAATGATTTTGAGCCAGATATTAGTGTTTACATGTCACTAATGATTACAAATGATGACAGATTAATCGATCGTTTATTGATAATCAATCAGCATTTATTGCAAGTTGAATTCATCTGTGTTGATAGATGCCTTCATACGTGCGCTGTAAATCAGTTAAGAAATAATGACAGAAAGAAAGACAAAAAGAAAGAACGAAAGACAGAATTAAAGAAAAAATAAACCAGCAACGAATGCTGACAAAATACCTCGGACATATAGACCTTAGCTACTTTGATTTCTTTTTACTACTGTTCACCCAATACAAGGTCCTAGAGCCACTCAAGGTAGAGGGTTACTAAATAAGTTTATTATAAAGGCGTACAGGGAGCGAGCAAGAGGGGCATATTATGATATGTAAGATAGATAATGGTTAATCCTAGACTTGAAGAGATTAAGATTGTAGTGGTCGAGGAATTTTGAATTTCAGATTATAATATGATTTTATGAGAAACTACTACAGTTGTAATGTTTGTATGGAATTTCATACAACACTAGTTCATTATAGACTTATATTTACATGATAATGATAACTTCTATTTTATTATTATTCACCCAATACCAGGTCGAAGAGCCACTCGAGATAGAGGGTTGCTAAATGAGGTTGCTGCAAGGAGGGGTCAAGAAGTGCATATTATGAGGATATGTAGGATAACGGTTAATCCTAGATTTGAAAAGGTTAATCTTGTAGTGATCAAAGAAGCCTCCTCTCGAGAATTCGTTCGCCCATATACAACGGTTCTGGAGAAGAAGCTTTCTGAGTGGAACTTCCTCTTCACTAAATGGAATATAAAATGAATGACGTCAGCGTACGAAGGAATGCGAGTCCTAACTGTGGAGTTATAAACTGGTGGAACCAAAGAGTGTAGTTCATCCGAACAACTGTCAAGAAAACAGCATGGTTCGTCTCTTATGTGCCGTATTGTTCCAGAACATGAGCGATTGTGGCTCTCCACAACTTCCTTTTTTGTTATTCTAAGCATCTTTTAATTCTTTACGATCCCTCTTTGTTCCTCTCTCATATAAATTTCTTAAGTAGGTTACTTGATATTTTGCTCTGTTTCTCTTGCCTTCAATATATCCTGTTAGTGTTAATAGATTACAAAATCTCCTATAGAAGGTAGCGACAGAGAGTAGGAAGAAAGGACTAAGCATAAACTACAAGAAGACAGAATGCATGGTCATCAGTAAGAGGATGAGCCCGAAATGCGATTTGCAGAACGCTAGAATCAAGCAGACGCGGAAGTTTAAGTATCTGGGAAGCGTTTTGACAGAGGACGGTAATTGCGACACTGAGATCCGTAGACGTATTGGGATGGCCAAGAACACATTCCAAAAGCTGGACAGAGTATTGCGAGACAGGAGGATTCCTTTGGTAACAAAGAAAAGAATACTGAGCTGTTACGTGACATCTGTCCTTCTTTACAGCAGCGAATGTTGGACAATTTCCTCAAAAATAAAGAAGAGACTCGAGGGGACAGAGATGTGGTTCTACAGAAGGATGCTAAGGATATCATGGTCCGAGCGTGTGAACAACGACGAGGTCTTAGAGAGGATGCAAACAAGGAGGAGGCTTATACTTAACATCAGGACGAGGCAGCTGGAGTTTCTGGGACACATAATGACGAAGAAGGGCCTGGAGAATCTGATGCTCACGGGTCGAATAGATGGAAAGAGAGACAAGGGAAAACAACGCATGACATACCTAGGGGACTTAAGTGAGTGAATTACAGAACGTGGTCTGGGGGAGGAAGCAGAGGGAATGAACTTGTTGAGAGCTGCAAGGGATAGAGGGAGGTGGAGAGCCATGTTCGCCTACGTCCTGAAAGGACATGGTAGATAAAAAAAGAAAGATTCGATATAAATATCGTAGAGAAATCTATACTATCAATAAATACTTTCAACAAAAAGACATAGAAAGATAGCCAATAGAAACTTGAGTCAATAACTAATGCACTTTGTTTTATTATATAAGAAATAAGGAGCACAATCAAACATCAAGATATAGCTATACATATAGACATCATAGGTACACATCCCTACTTCTCAACATAGTCACCACTTCTTCCAATCGCAGTGTTCCACCTAAGAATGAGAGTACGTATCCCAGTTCCGTAAAACTCAGCTGGCTACTGATGTAGCTAATTCCTTACATCAGTTTTCACTTCTTCATCACCGTCATAACATTTGCCTCTCAGTGCCTCTTTCATTTTACCAAAGAGATGAAAGTCTGAGGCTGCTAAGTCATGGGAGTAAGGAGGATACGACAGAGTTGTTCCCCTGAATTGCCTCCAAGCAAGTCACAATGTAGCGAGGTGAGGGAAACAAACAGGAGTTCTACAGCAGCGTTTCCCTACCTGTGGGAGTTCCTAACCCTAAACACATGATTTGGGAAAATTGGTGAGCCTTATGGCAGAAACATAATCTAACTGTTTCTTCATTTCGTTTTATCCAATAGATTCTGCTGGATTTTACTGTAATGATCAATAAATCTCGATATCTTTTTTATGTTGATCGGACAAAGTCACGACTTCATGTAAATGCCTCACGCGCGTATCACAGCACGAAAGTCACAAAAAAAGACAATACCAGAAATAAGGAATAAAACTCTGGTTGCGTCATGCTCCAGCCGCTGAAACTATTGGATATGAACAGACTCCAATACGTCAATTTTCGTTCATTTATTGATGATTTTCCTGTTCCGTGACGCTTTATATTATAAAATGTTGATGCAAATATAGATGCCTTTCTTTTTTTTCTATTTTTTACTATTGTTACTATTTTCTTATTATTTTTGTACTGCCTCCCGATACGCGTCCGTCTCGCGCGCGTGTGTACCCTAGACAGTCAGATAAACAATCAAAAGTAAAAAGACAAAGTCCTTATTGAAAGCCAAAAGGGTGAAACTAGAAAAAGAAATAAAGATAAACTTGAGGCTAGTTTGGTCCGAATAACAAAAATAAAAATGTAAAAAAGGAAGGGAACAAAGAAATATAGCAACGGCAGACGAAGACTGAACATAACACTGAGACCGAAAGTCGAAATGGATAAAGGAGGTAACAATTAGTGTCCTTGTAGTAATAGGTCATAAAATCTGCTGTGATAAGTCTACAGAAACGACGAAATTTTCATGAAGTTCACACAGTGTGAGAACAGTTAGCACATAATGAAAGGGGTGCTACATGACGAAGTATAGCAGCAAAAATGCCTGCAAGGTGGCTACCGTAGAGAAATGTCAAAAGAATAATACGATATTAAAGGAGACCAATGCTTAGAGAAAAGGTTTAAGAAGATACATACCGGCGATGCTATCGTTGGGAGTGGATATTAGGAGGATCAGAAACCAGGAACCACGTGCTTTGATTCATTGGTTTAATTGTGGCTCACTGTGTCGCTTCCGGTAATTACTACGGGTTAAACAGGAAGTGGTAAAAAAACGCTGACTAATCTAAATTGAAAAGGGTACGAACAAAGTGGAAATAAAACAATAGATGCACTGTACTGTGGTAAAAGAGCCATTTTCTTTCCAAATCATCGGACGACCCTCAACGCATCCTTTGACTTTGTGAACCACTGCTCTTCATCTTCCTACATCTTGTGGCTTTATTCATATCCTAATCTAGCCTGGTTTTCCTTCCTACTCTTCTCTTTTTATCTATCTTTCCTACTTTTCTTTTTCTATCTATCTTTTCCACTCTTCTCTTTCTATCTATCTTTCTTACTTTTCTCTTACTATCTTTTCTACTCTTCTCTTTCTATCTTACCTACCCTTCTCTTTCTATTTTTCTTACTCTTTTCTTTCTATCTTTCCTACTTTTCTCTTTCTATCTTTTCTACTCTTCTCTTTCTATCTATCTTTCTTACTCTACTCTTTCTAGCTTTCCCACCCTTCTCTTTCTATTCGTCTTTCCCACTTTATATTTCTTTTCTACTTTTCTTTTTCTATCTATCTTCTCTCTAATGTTCTATCCGCTCATGCACACTTGTGATTTTTCAATACTCACAAAGCCGATCTGTGGCTTATACTGCA